GTTTCACCATGTTGACCAGGATGGTCTCGATCTCTTGACCTCATGATCCACCCACCTCGGCCTCCCAAAGTGCTGGGATTACAGGCTTGAGCCACCGCGCCCAGCCGTATTGTTTTTAAGTCTAAGATTTTAGCTGTATTAATAAGAGAGTATTCTTACTTTATAATAAACTTCATATGTCAGCAAGATAGTCTTTACTATAATTAGGCTGATTTCATAGTTTGTGTGCTATATGTGACCAGATTATTATAGCTTAAATAAGAGAGCTTGGGGAGAGGTAAATGGCTGACAACAAAAGCAAAAGTAGATAAGTTGGACTTTATCAAAATTTAAAACTTTAGTGTATTATAGGAAATTATCAAGATAGTGAAAGATAGCCTATAGAATGGAAGACAGATATTGCAAATGGTATATCTGATAAGCACTTTAGAATCCAGAATCTACAAAGTACTCTTTTTTTTTTGAGATAGAGTTTTGCTCTTGTTGCCCAGGCTGGAGTGCAGTAGTGCAATCTTTGCTCACCACAACCCCTGCCTCCCGGGTTCAAGCAATTCTTCTGCTTCAGCCTCGGGAGTAGCTGGGATTACAGGCGGCTGCCACCACACCGGGCTATTTTTTTGAATTTTTGGTAGAGACGGGGTTTGTCCGTGTTGGTCAGGCTGGTCTTGAACTCCTGACCTCAGGTGATCTGCCCACCTCGGCCTTCCAAAGTGCTAGGATTACAGGCATGAGCCACCACACCTGGCCTACAAAGCCACTCTTAAAACAACCCAACAGGCAGGTGTGGTGGCTCACGACTGTAATTCCAGTACATTGGGAGGTTGAGGTGGGAGGATTGCATGAGGCTGGGAGTTTGAGACCAGCCCGGCTAATATGGTGAAACCCTATCTCTATTTATGTTTAAAAAATAAAAAAGTAAAAACAAAAAAACCCCAACCCAACAGAAAGACAACCCAATTTTAAAATGAGAAAGGATTGAATGGACATTTCTGAAGAAGCTATGCAAATGACCAAGAAGCACAAGGTGCTGAACATCAGTAATCATAAGGGAAATGCAACTGAAAACCGCAATGAGATACCACTTGACACCCACTAGGGTATCTATAATTACAACACAAACAAAAAATAGAAAATCATCTGTGTTGGCAAAGATGTGGAGAAATTGGAACCCTTGAGAATTGGTGGTAGGAATACAAAATGGTGCAACTGCTGAGGAAAACATTTTGATGGTTCCTCAGAGAGTTAAAATAGAATTACCATTGGATGCACTAAGTCTGCTCCTTAGGTATTTTCCCAAAATAATTGAGAATGGGGATGGGAGTCTTAAAAATTTTAATCATGTCTGTTTTCTGGGGTTTTTTGGTTATCGTTTGTTCTTTTGGTGTCATATCTAAGAAACCATTGCCTAATCCAAGGTCACAAATATTTATGCCAGAGTTTGCTTTACAGTTTTAGCTCTTATATCAAGCTAGTTATTATGTTTCAATTAGCAGTGATACCACTAGCGCTCTCTCATATCAGTTGTTAACTGAGTCTTAAACTAGCTTTCTTTTGTTTTTGGATAATGGTACAGAGCTATGAACTTGCTAACTGCTTACCGATAGGGACACTGTGGACCCTGTAGCTTGTGGATTGACTAAGTCACCATTAATAATGAAACCATCTTATATTTTCCATCCCTTTTTGCTTTTAATAGTGTCTCATTTAATTCTTTTAATATTCATATAATTTACATTTAGCATTAGAAAACTATGTGTGGCTGCATCAGGAAGTACTCTCTCCTCTGGAAAACCGAGGGCAGAATTGAGAAACATTCTTAAGGAGATTTCCCAGGAATGTCTTTCTTTTTGGTCCAGGCTAGTTGTGAAGTCCCGAGCTCAGGTGATCCACCTACCTCAGCCTCCAGAGTAGCTGGGACTACCAGTGTGAACCAATATGCCCAGTAAGGGTGTCTTTTTTTAAGAAGTGAGTCTTTTAAATACATTCTCTGAAAAAATGTAGACAGAAATGAAATGGGCTTTTATTTCAGTTGTTGAATACATACTTTTTCCTTAGCTTGTTACTTGGATATCTTATATGTTATTGTATATATTTTAATTCTTAAAAAAAAAAAAAAAAATCCTCGACATGGTGAGACTCATGCCTGTAATCCCAGCTCTTTGGGAGGCCAAGGCAGTTGGATCACTTGAGCCCAGGAATTCGAGACCAACCTAGACAACATGGTGAAACCTTGTC